GGGACGACAAGGTATGGCAAGCCGTCATGGCCAACAACGTCGAGGGTCTGCGCGCGCTCTTCCGGAAGCGCCGGGCGCATATCCTCTTCTCGCTCGAGTACCGCGACGAGCAGAAGCGGACGCCGCTCATGATGGCGTGCACATATGGCTTTGCCGACTGCATGCGGCTCCTCGTCGAGCACGGTGCCAACTTGCACGCAGTCGACAAGAAGGGCAACACGCCGCTCCATTACGCGTGCATCAACGGGCAGTTTGCGATCGTCGCGTACCTCGTTCAGCACACACTGGCGTCGCCGTTTGACGCCAACAAGAGCGATGCGACGCCGCTTCAGCTCACCCGCCACGTGCTCGAGAGCAAGCCAGCGAATTGGCTCGACCTCGCCAAGTGCATTGAGCTCCTCGAGCAGCGCGTCAAGGTCTTTGAAGGCTGGCTCTACGAAAGCGCACCGAATTTGGTCGCTGACGTCCTCAACATTGCGTCCATGCAGAGCTGGAAAGCGCGGTATGCCCTCGTGCTGCGCAATGGCTCCCGAGACGAGCTCGAATTGCATCTGTTTGATGTGCGCCAGGGGCTTCGCCCGCCGATTCCGACGTACGTTCAATATTGTCTACAGGTGTATCAATATAATACTTCTAGGTCGATCCGACAGGTGCCGATCACCAACGGCGTCCAGTTCAACAAGTCGGAGCGCTGGTGGAACAAGAAGCCGCACTCTTTTCTCATCAACGGACTGTATGAGTTTGCGGCCTTGGACACAGCGGGATTTGACTTGTGGTTTCGTTTCTTCGAGACGGACGCGGTAGAACTCGGCGCAGTCGTTGTGCGCTCACATCTCTGTTGTAGGCAACCATGGTCGAAGATCGCACCGTCATTACCGAAGAGCCATCCCACAAGATTCTAGTCCAAGACGACGAGAACGATTTGTCGTCATCGGAGCTCTCGCCGACGCACCACCTTTCACCGTCGGCCCCCGACGCCATGGACGCGCCGCCGCTCGACGCGATCGGCGCGTGGGGCTCGTCGCCCCCATCGAAAACGAGCAAAATGGCCAAGCAACCCTCGTCCAAGCCACCAGCACCACCAGCACCACCGGCTCCACCGGTACCGCCACTACCGCCACGGACGACGCCGTACTCGCCCATGCCACCCACCCCCAAGAAGGACAAGCAGGTCGTTGACCTCACAGCGGCAAGTGGCGACGCGGCGCCCGCGGCGTCGGCCCCCGACTTTGAAGCCGATGACGCGACGCCAGGCAAGCCCGCGATGCTCCGGCGCAAGTCGTCGCTGCTGGACGACGGCGCGACGAGCGATGGTGCCAAGCGCCGAAAGGGCAAGGACGAGTGCGTCGTGTGCTACGACCGGCCCAAAGCCACCGTGTGCGTACCGTGTGGCCACGTCGCAGTGTGTGTCCAGTGCGCCGAGACGTTGCGGCGGACGACGGGGCGTTGCCCCATTTGCCGGGGCGAAGTGCGCGAAGTCGTCAAGCTCTTTCATGTATAAACACCCAATCTACTATATTCCTATACCAGTGTTCTGTGTCGACAACCACGCACGCAACAGCGCCCACTTGAAAAGGGCTGGGGTAGGGTAGGGTTATGATTTCACAACTTATGTGGCATAGCCAAACGTCTTGAAATAGCCAGCCGCCCGCGTCTGGATCACTTGACGGAGTCGCGGCGGCAGCTCCACAAAGTCATTGACCTTGTAGCCAGCCAAGGCTGCGACTTGGGC